GATGAGAATTCAGAGGAATGTAGAAGTTGACCTTCAAAGTACCTCAAATTTTGAATTATTGCAAAACACCAATTATTTGAGAAATATGTATTTACAGTCACAGAATATTACAAAATAAAGTAACAAAATATGAGAGATATATTTCAATAAAAAATAAAATGTAGAATCTAACACTAACACAATTAGAATCTTTGATTTACAAATAAGATACATCTCGTTCAATTTGAATTTTTTATATGCTAAAAATATACTGAAAAACAATGAATATTAAAAAAAATAGTTAACTGTATTTATTCAATCCATACCTCAACCATGTTTAATCGAGCACATACACACATATATATATACACACATACATATATATATGTGGCTTATAAATCAAATACACATGCTGACTAAAGTACTACGACGATGATTGTGTAGTAACGAGTGAATCAATGACAGTTAAGACATTTTGATACAAAGCAAAAAAAAATTCAAAATAAGATCAGACACATCGAACATCAATAATGTAAATGGAGTTTAACATTTTGAAACAAGACACTGAACTGTACAAAAATGTATAAAGGTGCAGAACCGCTCATTATGGCCAAAGACCTGTAATGGAGCAGATTTTATTTTTTCTGCACACTTTGCAAATTTTTTTATCTGAAAAAAGAATGAAAAAAAATTATTTAAGGATACGGCCAATATGATAGCAGGCAACAAAAATATTGAAGGTGATTTATAGCAAGTTATACAAATCATCTCATTATTTAAATGAAAAATTTCCTTTTCAAGTTTTTAGTCGATCAGTAAATTGAGATTATAAGTTTATAAAAGCGAAATATAAAACATACTTCTGATTCCTCTGGCTTTCTCACATCGTTTTGTATAATAACCAGTGCTTGTTGTCATGCAGAAACGGGAACATTGCGAATTACCTTTCACACCAATGCCCTTTCCACGTCGTCCTAAAAAAACATTTTATTGGAATTTATTAGTAAACACAAACTAACTTACTTTTATATAACTTATACAGTATTGAATTACAGTGTAATAGGTATCCCAAAGTCGTGTAGAATGTGGAATGCAATCAAAATTGTTTTATCGAATTGTCGCAATTATCATTTTGGATTTTTAGTTGGACAAAAGTAATATTCAACATTTCAATGAAAAAACATTTTCGTAATAACAATTTTATTTTACGCATACTCATACTTTTTGTTTCAGAAATTTCCCAAACTTTATTAATTTTCGTATGATTTTTTCTAATGCACATTGCCACCCTTTATTTCTACTTAATCAAAACGGCAATAAAAAAAGAAACTTACTTGTGTTTCCGGCATCCGAATATATAGTTGTCGCACAAATCAATATTGCAAGAAATAAAGCGAATTTCATGTTAATATTTTGACCCATACTGTTGATGGTTTGTACTCAATATGAGACTGTAGCAGACTGTTGAGACTTATTTATGCATGAAAGTATCTCCCATACTGAAATATTTCCCTAAAGTATTTCATCGTAAGCGACGCGACATAAACAGTCTATCGTTAAAACACGACACCGATGTTGTTCGGTATATTTTCACGCGGATACTGTCTCGAGGTTTTTGTACTAAGATGAGCGTGGCAATTCTTGGTCCTTTACGTAATTGCGATGCTAGTCACCATGATGATACCAAGACCGGATGAAGTGGACTGCAGACACAATCCAACTTGAGTGGTAATGGTAGTGAAATCATGCACAAAGTTTGAAAACGGAAATATTAAACCGCGAACCTCGGCCTTCCGCCAAGTTATCAGTCAATGTCGGGTATGGGATTAGTAAGACAGTTGTCAAATGCATGGAATTGATGTTATAAGTTTTTTGTAATGATATGGCAGATAGCTTATACAGCTCCACATATCTTGCAAACAAAAAAAATAATTCAAGTTCCCATGTTCAAAACAACCCTATTATATAGAAATTGACCGCCAAATTTAATGCAGTTACTGACACTCCCGAGCATTAAGCAATGTTATTAGATGCCTGGATGACTGTGAAATACTGTTTTAACAATTTAAAATAAAACAACAATAGGGAGCCATGACATGGATCATTTCGATAGTTTTTCCCTTTATTCGGGTAGGTTAATGGAACGATCATTGGAGCTCTTCCAATATATACAAGAATACTTTATTTAAACGCTTACACCAGGAAACATTTCAATTCGTTCAACTCTTTCAACTTTGGTCAGGTCTCTTTCTGGAGTTACTTTCGGTAGTGGTGTGGCAGTCATTTGTCACTGGATATCTATGCGATCATTCTGTTAAAATCTTCGTAGTGGCTAAAACAGGACATTACAACATCTCATTTTGAGCCGAGACATCGGATATTATGGGTTGTTGCCGTGAAAACAGAGTGTTTATTGTTCTATTGGATTAACTCTTTGAACCCTAAAAACCGGTATTCCGATTTTCCTGAAAACGTCTTGGACCGTCGAAGCAGGTTTCCGGCTTTGGCATTCCATATTAGTTATGCAACTTTGAAACCTCGCAATCTTGCAAACCTTATATTACTATTTAGATAAGTTTTATATTATTTGAAAGACAGTCTAAGAAACCAAATATTATTCTAAAATGAAGATAAAATATATCGATTATCCTGCAAAAATGGGCAAAATTAGAAGCGAAAAAATGTTCTGAAAAGCTTTTTATTTGAATAACAAAAACTTCGATCTGTTCTGTTTTAACCTAATACGATATTGACACATTAGTAGGGGTTTAAAATAGCTTTCGAAGGAACCATTAGATTGAATCCATGATGCACCTGTAAAATTACAAGAGCAATCTTATTCAATGTTCTCCAATTCGTTACATGTCCGTCGCGCCAACTTGAGGTAAACACGACGTTTCTTAAATACTTTGTTACGCAGTTACGTTGCCAAGTATCAGCTCTGCGTTCCCTATGAAAAACACACATCGCTTTCCCTCGCAAGTGTGTAACGTGATTAACCTGTCCCAAGGTCACGTTTAAAGTTGGTTTTATTTGAACTGGTAATATGATGATTGTTCACATCATTTTCTCAGGAAAATTTTCTTGATCCAACCAGCTGTTCCATCAGTTGTCCAAATAAATATAGAATGTAAATGGTCTCAGGGCTAGCACATTGTGCGCCTTATGAATTTCGTCAATGTGTACAAGTTGTAGGTTATGACGTAGATAATCTAAACCATTCGCCGCGCCATCAACTTATCGCTATTTCGATTTATTTGCGTTGAAAAATGTAAGATATTTACCAGGTGATTTAGCGACGTCATCAAATCTTCCACGTTCTCGTTGGTCAAACTTGGGATCAACTGATCCCAAACTTGTTTATAATTTCAATGATATCCAATAGTAAAAAGTTAGCTTCGACGTTTCCGACCGAAACCCATACCCACGCGCGGTTCAAGTTTTTTGGTTTGGCCATTTAGTTACGTCCCATAATCTGATAACAAAAGTATATACCATGGCGTTTGTTTTTCAGCAATTATTATCAGAGTTCAATCAAGATGCGTTCGAATATATAGCTTTTAACAGCGGCCGGATCATTGGAGCTCCTCCAATATATATATACGAGTATATGCGGTAGTACAAAAATACTCGAAACGCTTACACCAGGAAAATTCTGGAGTTTCTTCCGTTAGCGGCAGTCATTTGTGAGTGGATATCTATACGAGCATGCGTTTAAAATCTTTGTAGTGGCTAAAATAGGATTTCATGAGAAATTGACATTAAAATGTCATGACTATTTACTGTTTTGGTAAATTAAAGCCTACTTTATATTAATTTTTTATCACTGAAATTTGCATTGATCCATGACTTGGCAGGTCGCTGAAAAAACGCGATAGTCATTTTGTAATTTACGGGTCATTGGTGCGCCATCCCTGTTCTATAAGTAATTTAAATATATTAGTTGCACTTTGAAAAACACATTCCATCGAGCATTTTATCAGACAATATTTTATTTCAAATCAGTCTTAAATCTCTGAAGGTTCAGTTTGAGCACTGCATTTATTTGAGTTCAATGGAACTAGGCCATTCGTATGTAATTTACCTCGGATATTCTATACATATAGCACTCTTTTCTCCTCCTTGGAGGGTAAGTGGGCAAGCCCGAGAAACTTCACTAAAACTTTTGAGACACAAATGCGAACCAATAACTAAGGTAGCAATTATTTAGACACTGTGAAATTGAGATTATATCATTTCGTCAATAGCCCTCAGTCTTGCTACAAAGGAATTTATTTTCAAATCGTCCGGAGAAAAGTCAACGTGACACTTTCGTCGAGGTCAATCTACTGCGAATTCAATCTGACACGTTTTGTGGTGTTAAAATGCTATAACCCGACATAACATATAAATATTTATAAAAATCTTATTAATCTTTATAAAAATCTAAATATTTATAAAAATCTTGGCAGTGAAATTTATGGGTTTCCATTACTATGTTTAGCCGTAAATATATACTACTACGGTTTAGCTCATTACCTTATCGCCTTTACTCGTTATAATCTTTTTTTTTTTAAAAACACACAATGCATTGAAATTAAATTATTATTACAAACATGAGAAAATTGTATTTTTGATCCGATGAGTCACTTGTACAATTATTTACAAAACATTTGCAAGATGTGTATAAGTGTAATAAGCAGCTGTTTACACACGATATCCTCCAAGAAGAAATTGGGAGCTGCAAGATAATTTTTACGAAGCATTGACGTATACCACAACCCCACAAAATTACAATGATAACATTGGGATCCGCCTTAGCTCCTGAATAAATAACAACCACAGCTTCATCGTCAACTGTATGAAGAAGCGTTAAAAAGCGTAATGACCCGTAATGACCCGTAAGGAAGATTTCTATAACCAAGTTTAATTTTTGTTTGATCGAGTTCACTTATCCATACCCCAAGGACGATACGGAAACATACATTTATTATATTGAGCCTCACAATGGCATAATAGCACCTTTCACTCGGTATCGTCTCGCACAACTGAAAATTCTTTTATGCGTGAACAGACTAAACTGAATACGTGCTGTCGATATGAGTGGCAAATATGCCTGTTGTTTGATTATCTTACTTCTAATTGTAAGTGACGTCGTTGAATGCAGGCCAAGTAAGTGTTAACGAGATTGTTCAATTTGTGTATATTATCCTACACTCTATAATAAAATAATATCTTGGGACATGCCAATTGAATCGTTTGGTATTTTTTCAAGATCTCTTGTACGAGCAAATGTTTGTATGATATATTTAAATAAATAAATAACAAATGCTTATTTTACTTCCACAAGAATGTCCAGTCAGCTAGAAGTAAACAATGACGTAACAATTGATATTAAAGCAGTAGCTAACCCCCCTTTTACCTGCTTCGTAAATTGGGAAAAATGGTGAACTCGAAAATTTAATAAGTTTGCATGTTAAGATAAGCATTATCAACTTTGTATTAGTCAAGTATATGGAGGTATTGCAGAGACCAGGGGTCGTTAGGAACAATATGTGGTGTAAAAGGTAACTTATTCAACATAGATGAGGTTACTTTTAAGCGGCATTTCAGTAACGGACTTAATTTTGAGTAAGAGTAAACACAAATTATAATAAAAATGTTGTAAATCAACACCATTGTTTCCTAATGATAACTATCTAACTGGCCAGTAGAAACAGTCACTTTTCCATTCAGGTCGGTACGGAAGATGGCTAAAAAAGCTTTGCTTCCACTACTGCAGAATCGTGAAAGATCGTCTTACTGGGCTAACATGCACCCAAAGAAGTCATTTAGGTAAGATACTGAATTTCACAATTAAAATGCTATAACCCCAAATAACATATAAATATTTATAAAAATAGCAATTTACAAATATCGCTCCCATTTAGAGTCAAATAATCTTGCTTAGTAGAATGCTTAGTATAACAAAATTTATCAACATTAATATATTTCTTTTCAGATCATCGTATGTGCAAGCTGTGTCGACATGATTACAACTGCGGTGTAATATCTTTTATGTAAATTTTATTTTCAATGTTAGTCATTTGGCGATATATAAACTTGAATTACATAACACTGCCGGAAAGTCGTTTTCAGGTTTTTAATGTATTTCAATGCAACTTTGAGAGTGAAAATAAATTTTTTGCAACTCAATGTAAACCCTATTTCTAAGTTTTGTTTACTTTTTTGAGCATTGAAGATATCGATTTGGGAACTTTTCAATCAAGCTGAGGATGTATTATTATTTTTTTATGCGACATAACAATGGTTTTTGTGTGATATATCAACCAAAAACCTTTGTACTCTTAATTTGTACGTGATAGTTCAATTGTAGTAAGTGATTTATAGATAATGGCTAAACTTCAAATAGACTTCAGTGTGTAAATTATATCACGTCGTCTTTCTGAATTGAAAGTTTGAAATCACCAATTCTTTCTATTTCTCAGTCAGTTTGATGTAAGAATGTAAATACATATTATTCGCTAATACAACAACTTTGTGATACCTGAACTGTTTGATTCAATTGGGGCTCCTGTGTAAAATGAATCGGAATGGATGGCTGAAATCAATTCAAAGAGTTCAAATATCTTCTGGAATATATTTACGATATATAATGTTACATGGTGTAGCCCAGGGTGGTCCAAATTCAGGGCCGCGGGCCCCATGTGGCTTCATTATCTGTGGCCCGCGTCACATACGGAGAGAAATCAAAAAATTGAATTTCGTGTTTTTCGTAATAAAATTATTCAGAAAAATCTGTTGACATATTGTTACATCACTTATGTCACTGAATTGACTAGTGTTATATCTAGATGAGGCAACTAGCGAAGTTGCATGATGTGCTTGGCAGTCTGATTTATTATCTTGTTTTCCTTTTTTTTGGTCAGGAATATATGCTAACAATATAGGCATCATAGAAAACTAAAAATAGAACGCTGATTCTATTAGCCTGGGATGGTTATGTATGATATCTATGTGTTCGCACAATAAAAGTGTTTGTTTTGTATTGCACTGTTTGCTTATCCTCGGCACTATTGTGGCCCGCGAACAATGCAAAAAAAATTGTGGCCCGCGAAACCGACAACCTTGGACCACCCTAATGTATCCTATATATAGTAATATAATTTTGAGACTTGTTTAAATAAAAATAATTTCATTGCTCAATTGTTACATTTTCTTAATTCTCTGGAATATTTCAATTTATTAAAAGTATGTAGGAATATTTCAAAAATGAGGAAGACAATGCTTGAATATTAGAGAGGTTTTTTAATTAGAAAGAAAATATTGAACGAGTTGGGTACATCAAGGGGATCATTTCAATCATTAACTCATCAAATTAGTATATTAATTACTCTAAATTAAGGCTTTATGATACTGAGGTAGGGCAATAGTATATATGGGGATAAATTGGTTATCGAGAGTGTATACAAGGTATATTTATTTCCATTTATCAACATCAGACAAGGATACAGAAATTGAGGCACATGATAAGTTCGACATTATCATGAAAGATTTATTAGAGTCTTCGTATATTTTCGAATGTTTACATGATATAAGCGAGAGGATTGTTGGAATCCTCGCCGCCTATTGGTAGTTCACGTAGCCGCTGGTCGGTTACGGCATCCCCACCAAACAAATACCTGGCTGACTAATCCCATACCCGACATACACTGGTAACCGGACGAGAGGCCAGGATTCACCATATGATTAAGCCGTTCTTCATCGGATTTTCACTCTCCCAGGATAAATATGTAAATCCTATCCTATATATATCCTCTCATATACTATCTGTTGAATTCATTTGATATTTGTGAAGCGATCTGTGAAACGAAAAATAACTCTGCAAGTAGATGCTTCAATGATTGGATATCGGGGAACACAGTGAACTATTATTTCGCGCGGGTGAAATTGTTCAAATAACTGATTTGAGAAGGTATTGATCAATTAATGTTCATCATTAAATATTTATAATTAAAAAACCTCAGATGATATCTGGTTGGGGACAGGGTACAGAGAATACGTGTCCCACTTGTCCCACGTGTTCCAATTGTTTCCATTATATACATAGGTTTGATTGAATTGTTTTCGTTTCGAAGCCAAAAAATGTTTATTCGAAGAAATTTTACCTGCGCGGAAATTTTCGTCTGCGTTATATAAATGAAATGTTTTGTCTTTGCCGATTGGTATCTCTATGGTTTAAAAAATACAGAAAATCGGCGGTTACCAATCTTTGACGCCTTGTTACATGCATACCGCCTCCTGCGTGTATATACGAGTGACATAGAAAACTTATTCCCTCATACACATTTCTATCAATATAATCGGAGTTTTCTGTTATCGACCGATTTGAGATTTGTCCAGATCTTTCAAGTTAAGTTAAATAGTGTTTTTAAAGGGCGGTGCGCAAATAAATTTAGATTCAAACTGGCCCGCTGATTGCCGACGCCTGGTTTAAAATAATCGATCGGTACATTCCTTTCTGGAACCGGCTTTCAACCTGTATCCCGATCAACGACGTGTATATTACCCGATAAAATCTCAGCCCGAGACAGCAATACAGTCCTAACATTTCTATAATGGAAGTTTTAACTCATCTAACTGCACAAACGACTGAAAGAAGTGCAAACCGCTCACATATACGAAAAATTCCGAATTGCTGAATTATATTCCACATGACGAAATATTCTGATGTATAACATGTATTCAATTTGAATTTTTTTTTGATTATGTGCCTAATAAATCACTACAGAATCTGGGGTGTCGCAAAAAGGTCGTGTGACACTGCAACCGACAGGCTTTACTCTGCTAAAGTACGTTTAATTAATACTGGGGTAAGAACACGCTGAATAGGACCCATCTTAGGAATATGGACATCTGAAACCTCAAATATGTTTGTATCTTTTTTAACATTGGAACGATCGTTCGCAATTAGCAATTGAGTAACCAATTGTGGGTAATGAACGATATGCAATGCACAACAATGAAAAAACATCCAGCAGAGTTCAACTAATGGGGCAAGAAAATATTTTGCATTTGTTGGAAAAGCTTTGTCTTGAATTCAGTAAAGCGTAAGAACATCGAAAATTATTTCGTAGAGAAAAATGATTTCACATCCGTCTCAAAATGGTTAGCAAAACTGTCGTTTCAAGGTTATTCGCTTCATACGTGTGATAAAATCAGAAGAAATCAACTCAAACAACAAATCAAAACCGAAGACAAGCGTATTTCAAACCAGCCGTCGCGTTTGGAAGTAATTGCCGTACCGAAATCAAACATAACGAATTAATTAGGCATGCTTTGCATGCATGCTAGTAGTAGTGCGCGACCCTGACACTTTCGTCAAAACAAAGAAAAGTCATCGACTGCGTTAAATTACGCAATAACCAGACGATCACATTGGCTGAAAAGAGCAGTCCGTGCTGACTCGCCATCACCACAATTAGTCACACAAGACTATACACGTATTTTCAACTTTTACTTAAATAAAATCATTTGTAATGAAGCAAACTCTACAGCTTGGATCTGCAACGTTCTGCTTCTGTGATCTTCCCCTCAGCTTACCCTGACCAACATACTATCGAGTTTGGTCTTCAAGCTCTTTTACCTATAGCTTTCAAACTACCAGGCTTACACAGTACGATATATTATATATATATATATATTTTCTAATTGTTTTATTAGATGGCATGGAAACAGGCTGTACTGCTTCCTATCATAGCAGTAGCAAAACAAGCACCCGGAGGTATAATTTGAGAGTAAAGAAAAAATTGGTTGTGCTACCAGAAGTAGTACCTTTGTTACATCCTTGAACATCCACTTTTACTTTTGTTAATAATTAGAATCAGTACAACGTTATAAATGTTGTCAATTTTGTCAATCGATCATTCGAAGCATTATAACGAACTGTACATAACAATGGAAACTAGATAGTAAGTAGTGAGAGATATGAGCGCGTAGCACAACATCCTCAAGATGTCAGTACAGCATGGGAAACTCAATTTGATGTTAGATGGCCTCGCCCCCCAATATTTCTCGATTTCTTATTAAGATACATTGCGCTCCTATCAAATTTGGCCTAGTGTTTGTATCTCCTTGATACTAATATTTTCATGTGTCAATTTAAAAATTATGGTTATCTGGAAAGTTTTATGGACCACAACTAATGTAATTTCAGAAACGTTTATGAGTCTGTGAAAGTCGACATAATAAAATAATTTATTTTCCCCAATACCAGCCATCCTTGATGTCATAATATGAAATAACGCAGTATGCAACATTTGCATATCTAATGAAGATTTAATAAAATGGATTTTGGAATGGGTACAAAAAAATTACTTTTCAAAAATATAAATTCTCATAAATGATATCGGCGAGCGGACACCAGATATTTCAATTGTTTTAAACTATCCGAAAGGTTTACTCGCACTCCTGAACTCTCTGTTTTTAATATCCGTGTATTCCGTGAAGTTTACAAATTAAACACTTCGACTATCTGTCTATAGGGGCTCATGTAAACCCACAAACCGATTGTTGCGTGAAAGTTTATGTATAATGTGGCAATCAGTCATGAAATAGTAGTAATAAAAATGGTTGCTAAATGAATTCAACAAAAATGGTTGTGTGCAACATATATTATATTGAATATATTATCAAATATCTTATTATAACAATTATCATATATTCTTTATCGTTTATTTTGTTGACTTAAGGGGGAGAGAGCATTTAAAAATTATGACGTGTATTATGTCATATTTCACACACCGAGGAATATCAACTGTGACGTCATATATTTGTTCCATGAAGACGTGTCTGTAAATCATGAAAACTTAATTTGGGATGAACTATATCGAACTGTGTGGAGCTCAGAGAAAAACCTGATTGCCTACCGCCTTCCAATGACTTCTTACTGAAATATTGAAATCCACTGGTAAATCCGTTACGCAGAATTTCTATAATCCGAAAACTCAAAACACCACAGCAGCAAATAATTATAAATAAAAATTTCTGATAAGATTCAATTTATCAAAAGGTTGACTTTCTTGTTAAAATTATATCAAGCAGCAGTAGAAACTACAACCTCTTGAATTATCGCTAGGATGTTTGTAGGTAGTTTGATCCAATATGCTTTATCTTATCAAAATAAGTTATCAGTATTTGAAAGAACATTATGTCCGTCATTTCGTCATCGGATACTAAGTATAAAAACTGTATTATCATGTAAAGCAAACGTTGATATGAAAAGACAGAATATCTATGCGACTTTATGGCGACTACGAGATGGTAAAGCGGTTGATTAGTGGATACTGTAAAAATAATTGTCAACACGCATTCAATAACTTTGGAAATTGTGCCGAGAAACCGAGGCGTTCCTGGTCCTCAACAGAAGAGATGTTTAGAAATAAATGAGATCATGACGTACTTTTCCTATAATTTTCTCTGTTGGAGAATTGAATTGAGTTGAATAAAAATTTCAAGTGTCAGTATGCTTCATAAGTTTTAAAGGTACTTTCCTGAAATTATTATAAA